ATCATCATACACTAATATTCATATAACTGGATAAAAGAAAAATAAGTTGAAAAACAAGTAATTTCAGTTTTCGCAAATAGCGTTATAAAAACCGAAATTACTTTCTAGCCAACCCAGTAATACGAACTTGGTTTTCGAAGGCAAATTCGTAAAAGAAGCAAATGTTATATCAACTGAAAAAATCAATTAGTGCATATATGCATATTAAAGTAATAATAAGAAAACTTATGTATAAGCATACGAGATGTTCTGACTTGAATGCTTTTGATTGCATGATAGCAATAATATATTAAACAATGCTAAGACCAATATGCTAAAGCTTAATGAACTAAAGTACTTTTTGAAATATCGTTTTTGTTACGTACGGGATCAATGGTTATAGGTGAATGGAGTGGACATGGCTTCGACTTCTTTAATGCACTCACTGCACTGATTTAACTGCTTTTTCTTTTAAATACTTATAAACAATATTTGTATACGTTGAACTGCACATCATTACACTGAATGATAAATAAATTGATCACACGGCTTCACAGTTCGAAAAGTAATACTGACTGAAAATATCAGCTAAAAATGATGAAGTATCGAATGAAAACGATGTATCGAACGACCTCTGTGGACGATATATTGAACGTGAACGACTTCATTGCTTTGCTTACACCGCACGCAAAGTAAGGGCGGTACGGGGATTATTACATATTTCCCGAGTTGTTACGTGTTGCGGCTCGTAGTTAGTTCAATTTTCCTTATCGATACGCGGAATATTTTCATTTCAGAGGATCAACTACGTGAGGACAAAGAAAAATGACCGACGACAAGACAGAATTCGTAAGTACACTGGATAATTGTACAATTATTGGCATCGAGTTCCTCCAACCTCACTTTCTGCAATATGCAATGTGAATTATACGTTCTCTTTACGATCACGAACCTATTTTTATTCACAGGATTGGGGAAATGAGAAATTACAACGTGCCCAGAAAACAGTGGACGAATCTCCTTTCGACCTGGAAGCATGGAGCATCCTTATCCGGGAAGCACAGAATCGACCTATAACAGAAGTAAGACCAGTTTTTGAGAAGCTTGTCTCCGTGTTTCCATCGGCTGGTCGTTATTGGAAAATTTATATTGAACAAGAGGTAACACTATCTCACTCAATTATATTTAATAGAAATGATCCAGTGTCGTTTATTAATCAAGAAATTTTTTATGACTGTTCCAGATGAAAATGCGCAACTTCGAAAAGGTTGAAAAGGTATGTTAATAGTCTGAGTTTCAAAATTTAATTAAAGCACTTTATTATATATTGTTAAATTCATAGTTATATGTACCTATCAAATTGTTCGTTTGAAGTGACTCGTGATTTCAATTATCAGTTTACAGTAAAGTTCTCTTGGTGGACCTTTTTTTTAAATATAGACTCACACTTACATATGCATGTTTATTAATTAATGGAGAATGGTTGAAGTAACCATTTGTGCAGGGTAGACGTGTTCTTAACTAAATATTGGCATTTAAGGAATTCTATTTTAATTTTTAGTGCAATAAGATTACATTTAATAATGTCAGGGTACTATTAATCCATTGCAATTGAGTATTGTCGTATAATGTGATTTTTAGCACTTTCCATATTATATGAGGTGAATAAAAGTAATATTTCACCATACACAAATATTTCATTGATTAATAATTGATTTGTTGGTATATTTGGGAGGTTGTTTTCTTCGTTGAGTAATACATATAATATATAAACAGTATGTGCGAATATGTACGATTAGAAATCAACTTATGAAGGCAACTTCCTGAATGTAACAGCCTTGTATTCCTTCCTGCTATATATTCTTTACTGTGCTTAAATTATGTGACTTGAAGTAAAATAAAGTTCATCTTTTCATAAAATGTAGAAATCTTATTGAATATAACGTGAAATAAATATATTAAAAGAAGAACCAATTAGTATTGAAATGATTAAATAATATTTGCGCAGAGTATATATTTACTTCTTCGTATATAAAAGAAAATGTTCTGCTATTGTACATACTTGTCTCAATTATTATGAACGATTTTGAGACGTTTAATATTACTAGAAATTATTTCTCAAGTGCCTTGGGAATTACATCATTTTCCTTCCCCCTGTACAATATTTGAGGAATACTCTCAAGTATTGTGAAACTTTCATAGAGGTAGCATAAGGTGATGAAATGTTAAATATATTTATTCCAGTTTACATTAGAGACAAGGCTTAATCGAAACAGATGATAGATTACAGAACTCTATTCTGGTGTTCGTATCACCTTGTGTTGCTTCACAATGTCTAAATTTTTTTGTCACGTTTCGGGATCATTCATTTCTAGATCCCAAGTAGGTCAATTATGCTATTAACCCCAGTTATATAAAACAATAAATAAACTTTTTACTCAATGGGGTTCATTTTATGTTACACTTATGATCTCATATCCGGACAATTTCTTCTTAATTATTTACAATGAAAACATATATATGTTTACGCAATAAACCATTCTCAATTGATGCACTGGTGCATTATTATTTCTCCCATTACATACAAATAATATTGTAGTAGTGATTGTATTGAAAATTTGCTTAATAAATAATTGAATTTTTACTTCCTGATATTTTGATGTGATTCTTATTTGTATTATTGACCACGTTTAAATATGTGTATTTAAAAAAAAAGACTTGCCTGTAAGGGTAAGTAAGGTGGTAGATTTGTAATGTTCTTGTAGCCACATTTGAATGGACGATGGATGTTACTTTCTACCTTGTGTCATGCTTCTAAAATACTTGTTTTATCTGACAGCTTTTCCAAAGGTGCCTCGTGAAAATCTTAAATATTGAGTTGTGGAAACTTTACCTTTCTTATGTCAAAGAAACAAAAGCCAGCCTGGCAACATATAAGTAAGTACAATTAGTTGTGTGCTTGCACCCTTATTGATTTCATTATACTTTAGTTAATTCCACGATAAATTCGTAGAGAAAAAATGGCACAAGCATACGACTTTGCTTTGGATAAAATTGGAATGGACATACACTCCTATAGCATATGGAATGACTATGTTACATTCCTCAAAAGCGTCGAGGCTGTGGGCTCATATGCTGAGAATCAGAAAATCAGTGCTGTTAGGAAGGTAATGAATTACGTCTTGTTAAATTACACAGCAATTCATTTCAGATAATTCATCATTCTAATTCGATTTTATTAAATACAGGTGTATCAGCGTGGTGTTGTCAATCCTATGATAAATATGGAACAATTATGGAAAGACTATATGGCCTTTGAACAGAATATTAATCCAATAATCGCGGAGAAAATGGCTATTGAACGTTCTAGGGATTACATGAATGCGAGAAGAGTTGCCAAAGAATTGGAAGCTGTAACAAGGGGACTTAATAGAAGTGCTCCTAGCGTACCTCCAACCGGTCATCCAGAAGAAGTTAAACAGGTATTCCTCCGAATTGCTATGTAAGGTGTATTCTTAGCACTATAAACGTTATTACAGAACTCAAAAACTGATATCACTGTATTAGGTCGAGCTATGGAAGAAATATATTGCATGGGAACGTAGTAATCCTTTGAGAACAGAAGACACTTCGCTAGTTGCCCGTCGAGTAATGTTCGCTATAGAGCAATGTTTATTATGTTTGGGTCATCATCCCGCGGTGTGGCACCAAGCCGCTCATTTTTTAGAACTCAGCTCGAAAATATTGACCGAGAAAGGAGATGTAAACGCGGCAAAAAATCTAAGCGACGAAGCTGCGACGATGTTTGAAAGAGCGACGAGCACATTGTTGTCGAAAAATATGTTATTATATTTTGCGCACGCTGATTTCGAAGAAGGCAGAGTGAAGTATGAAAAAGTGCATCAAATATATCAAAAGTTCCTTGATATACCTGATATAGATCCTACACTTGTTAGTATCATTTGTCATTTCTTAATAGATGATATTTTATTGTCCCGAGCGTTTCTACTTAAAATGTTTCTATACAGGCGTATGTACAATATATGAAGTTTGCGAGGCGCGCTGAGGGTATCAAATCTGCTAGAACGGTTTTCAAAAGAGCTCGTGAGGATCCGAGGTGTAAGCATCACGTTTACGTTGCTGCTGCGTTAATGGAATATTACTGTACCAAGGATAAAAATATCGCTTTCCGAATATTTGAGTTGGGCTTAAAAAAATTCGGAGACAATCCTGATTATATACTTTGTTATATTGATTACTTATCACACTTGAACGGTAAGAATATATCAAAACGAAGACATTTAGATTCTAGATAAATTATTTGTCGTTGATTCATGTCGTATTAATTATACTTTAATTTTANCTGCGTTTAATATTTTTAGCGACATATGGAATCGGTTTTTAGAATTTGAGTCGAATATTGGAGACCTGGCTAGTATCGTTAAAGTCGAAAAGCGACGTAGCGCGGTCTTAGAGAAGGTAATTTTACGGGATTTAAAAAGCATGTACTATTTAAAAAAAATTTAATTCCTCATACGTCATATTTTACTTTATTTTCAGATCAAAGAATTTGAAGGTAAAGAAACAGCACAATTAGTAGATAGGTACAAATTTTTAGACTTGTATCCGTGTACTCCTATGGAATTGCGGTCGATTGGATACATGGAAGTATCCAGCGTAGGAAGAACTACAGTTGGTGTACTACCGCGGATACCGGATCCGGAGGAAGCTATGGCATCATTACCACGACCTGATTTGTCACAAATGATTCCTTACAAACCGAAAGTAAATCCACTACCTGGAGAACATCCAGTACCTGGTAGGTTTTGCTTATATATTGAAAATACTATTCTTATTATCGCATATGTTCAATTAAAATTTTTTTACAGGCGGTTCGTTTCCATTACCACCAGCTGCAGCACAGCTTTGTACTATGCTTCCTCCACCTGGATGTTTCAGAGGACCATTTGTAGCTGTTGATTTGCTTATGGATGTATTTAATCGAATTCAGTTACCAGAACACGGTAAATACATTATTATTAATAATTTGAATAATAATTATGTTTAAATTCTGTATTAAAAATATTTTTTTACAGCACCGTTGCCTATAGCAGATAATGGGTGCGACACGAAGTTATTCGATTTAGCAAAATCTGTACATTGGATTGTTGACGAGAGCAACGATGGAATTAGCATCGGATCCAAACGGAGAAGAACTCGCTTAGGAGGCGACGACAGCGAGGAAGAGGATCTACCACCGCCTCCCGCAAACGACATATACCGCCAAAGACAACAGAAGAGAGTCAAGTGAATAATTGATTGAACAATTCAGGATAAGAATTCTGTATCATCTCCTATGTCTTGGAGAAATTTGATACATGTTATTATATATTTTTACATTTGCTGTTTGTTCCGAGGAGGGAACAAACCTACCATCTCTGATGATATGAAGCGTACATTACACACACTCGTGTAGGAGTAACGAGTAAATTCTTTATGTGACACAGAGCACAATATTTTGAGTACCATGTACTCAGAAATCCTATATTTACACACTATTAATTTCGTCTTTGTTCAGATGTGTTCATTTAGATGCGAAGTATGATGTGACCGAGATGAAAAGACAAAATTGGTAACGTCCAGTCCAATGGATCGAACTTAATTGTACTGTTAGCTATTTGTCATTACAAGCATAAATATATAAGAACAAGAATGAATTTTTACACCAATGTTTGTGGCAATTTGTACTGCGCGGAAAAAGAAGAAATATTTTTCAAGTTGTACGAACTATACATATATACATAGAATCGGTGTGACTGGCGATCGATACAATTTGTATAGTGCATCAGTACATCTTTAAGGATGTATTGGCTATACAGTCAATCCCAGAAGTTTATGTACTTTAGAAAAACGCATTTCCTAAACATTTTTCTTCTAACTGAAGTATTTAACGAGTTAAGTATGATTATTTGGCATTTTATTAGCATTGATAAAATCCGACCGTCCCAGCGTCGAAACGGCGTACTTTTGGCAAAAAATTTCGTTTTTCATTAATTACTCCTAAACCGTTGGACCTACGGGAAAATTGCATCAGATCTTTTTTGTAGAGGACGATGAGATCTACAATCTCCATGTAAAAATTTTCCGCTAGCCTCAATATTTAACGAGTTATTGATGAAAAACGAAAAAACAGTTTTTTGCAAATTACTCGTTAACTATTGGCGCTAGCGAAAAATTTTTACACGGAAATTGTAGATCTCGTCGTCCTCTATAAGAAAGGTCTGATGCAATTTTTCCGTATGTCCAACGGTTTGGGAGTTATTGGCCAAATACGAAAATTTGGAAGAAATTGAAGGGGTGAACTCCCTTGAACAATCTCGGAAAAATCGAAAATTTTTTTTTGTTGTTTATTATTAGCAATGTTCTTGCGACGTCTGATTTCTTTTTAAAAAATGCGTTTCTAAAGTGCATAAACTTTTGGGATTGACTGTATAGCCAATACATCCTTAAATTGTATTATAAGTAGGGTATTATTCTACGCGGAATCTACATGTAAAATATGCGAACGAAGGAAGGATAATTTGTTTTTTTTTTATTCACGAAAAGATTTACCTAATTGTACGCCGGATTAAGAAAAATATTCGGGAAGGTATTGATTTGATATCCATAACTCTGTTAATTCCATAAATTTGTTATAATTTCTTATAACAAATTGATTAGCATATTTTATACTTTCTCCAAAGATTTACATGTACGTTTTACTTCGTTCTATTGATAATTGATCATTTTTCAAAGCTCGAACTGTAGGAACAATGTCTGAGAAATTTTTCGTATGTACTTGGCTCACGTTATAAGTTTCATCTGTATAATTTAATGTACAGGACCAATAAAAAATCGCCGCGTCCTAATACAATTTTCTTCTCATGAGCATTTTTATTTTTTCCCTATCACAAAGCAGAACGACCGAAGGCTGATAATTAAATGCATGTACGATTCGCCGTCGTAGCTATTTCTATATGTGTAGAGACTGTAGTTAGCATACATAACTGCTCAATGAGGGTGCAATTAAACTTTGATCACTATAACTAGTTCGAGTGGCTGTTAATGGTCCTCTTGGGAAACTGTAGATTGGGCTGTGAGCTGTGAGGTACGAAAATTGTTGTTCTCTCGCACCGGAATTGTTTTGAAAACTTCAGAAACCTGCATGTCGGCTTTCGTCAACAGAATTTGGCTGCAAGCCATTTATAGTAAATTGCGGTCAAGCTTGATCAGTGACAAATTCATTTTTTAAAAATATTACAGAATAAAATTTTGGTCAAATAAACAATTTAAATTCGACAATATCGACATTCCAAGTTTGTTGCCGCGATGATAGGTCGAGTCAGTAGCAGGGTTTACGGAATCCGGAGGAATCTCTATTACACGGCTATAAATCCTCGTACGTTCAATGCGTACTTGTGGCATAGTTCTGCGCCCATCTATCTTAACGGAAGATACCTAACATTTGTACACTTCTAAAAGTAGCTAAACTAATGTCATTCCTTCCGAATGACTGAGCTACGTTTTATACCAAGATATCGACGCATCCGAACATATTTTGCATACTTATTCCATAAACCAGAAATTTTTAATAGGAAAACAGGATTGAAAAGAGCTATGCATTATCGAGCATTGTATATCGTTAGATCAATAGAAATTAAAAATATAATTGAACTTGGGAAAAGAAAGAAGAATAAGATATTTCAATTATTCCGTTTTCGTTCGGAACCACGCTAAGGTAGATCGTATCTCTTTGGAAGCCTCCTAATATCGTGGTAATTTCATGCAGAACAGGGAAACTCCACTCGCAGAGATCCTCTCAGCCACCTGAACCCTGGATCCAGGTGTTTCCGTATCGATTCAATAATACCCTGCCACCGCGGCATTTAAATGCTTAACGTTTTACCATTTCGTATTCTAAAACGCTTTTAGTGGTCCCACAGACTTGGGTTCATCTAAAGGTAAGCGGTTTAAGATAAAGTGACATTACAGTCTAGGACTTTTCAATAGGCGTTTATTTGTCAAACTTGTTTAATTCTACGGAAAGCTTCCTTTTTGAGACAATTGATTTTCAATTGCATTACATTTTGATTTCATACATGTTTATTATAATTGTATAAATCCAAAAACTGAAATATTTGATTTAACCAATTTTTATTTATTTCATGAATCAACTTGCAGGAATTTCATACGTTATAATTGGTAAACTCGATTGGTGAATGTAGGTACCGTGAATTATTTGGAAAACACGTTCCTGATACATGTTCCAGTTTAATTAAAATTGTTATTTGAATGTAATTTTCTGCATCATGTATTGCCAGAATGTGCGGCTCTGTCTGCTTTTATATGCTGCAACCCATTATGCTAACGGCTTCTTAACGAGCCTCATGCGTGGCACAAAGTACAATAGTTTGGTGCAGTTCGCCTCGTTTCTACATTGATTAATGTAGTTGCCATCAAGTTCATAGTCGTAGCTTTCAGGAGTAGGAATTTGAAGAAAATGAAACTGCCCTAAACTGTCAAGCATGAAAACTGAAACCCTTTCTCAGCATATTCTACTAATAGTTAATATTTCTATACACAATACACATTGTGCTCTTACTATAGTTTAAAAAATTCGTAAATACAATTATAACATTTGGAAAACTGCAAATGCTGGATAAAAAGGGAAATGACAGCGTGACCCTGTCTCAACTTATAATTTTCAAATCGTCACTTAAACTTTTAACTACCAATTTTCAACTAGCAACTGTTAACATTCTGTTTCTAACTTTCAGAATTTAACTGTTAACCATAATGCTCGGCTTTAACTGCGCGGGCAGCGTAACTTCAACTATATACGTTGAAATTCGCATTTCCAATTGTTCTCTTGCATAGTTTCGAACAAAAGATAGTTGGGCCGTTGAAAATTGAATACGCGAGTTCTTTGCAATGCCCGTAGTACGCGTATCTTATCGGAATCGTCTCGAAATTGATACCGATTTATTACTCTCGAAGTGAACGTATTAGGGAAATTCGGCGGACGTTCTATCTCCGGCATCCCTTGATACATATCTTTTTCGAAGTTGCACGAGGAGAACGAAAGATTCCCATTGTTACTAAGACGTACGCGAGGAAATCCCGGTTCGGATCGGTTCCAGTTGCCTCCGGCGAACTATCGAAACATAGATTCCGGCGGACTCTCCGCGAGGTTAACGAAGATTTTACAAATTACCGTCACCATTAATTCCGCAGTGAGAAAATTTAGGTGGGCGTCCTATCCACCGGGTAGCTAACCGCCAGGGACGCAACTTGGGGAGCTCTTTGAAACTTTGGTTCTATCTCTGGAGGAAGACAAATGACAAGAGCCGAAAGGAGCTCGTGAAACTGGTATTCGGCCTTTCATAGAACGCGAAAGCATAATTCTCTCACTACGGTGTGAATGAGCTATCGCGAGATAGCGTGTAAGAGTAATTCTTACGGCAAATCGATGAAAAAGTACAGGAAGAGAGTCACTTTCGGCCACGAGAAGAGGGCGAACATTTTTATCTACTTCCGTGCCGAATAAATTAATAATCTTCTAACTGCGCCAAACGATGCTTTTATCTCGTGACGCAGAAAAGAGGAACGAGGGTATTCGGAATGAAAACTACTTTGAAAACTTATTAAAGTGTATTTCTGATTAAACGAACAACAATCTTTTTGCTAAATTAAGAACACCTGCTATCAGTGGACGATCTACTCGACAGATGCAATTAGACAAAGCGACTGCGGCTATTATGCGTAGAGATATCTGCAACGAACGTGTCAACAGTTAACTCATTTATGCGAGCTTTGTACTTTTCACGGCACACGTGGATTTATACATATGCATATACCCCTGAAAGGCGCGACGCTATAATAGACGTCCCCGGTGACGATATTAGATATCGGAAATCTGATTCAATAGCACTCGTCATCCGGGTCGACATCGTTATCTTGACAATAGCTCTCCTTCTCTCCCACTATCTATTTATCTCAACTACGTCTCGCGATAATGGTGTTTTCCAAGACCGAACAGTTATGGTTTCGATCAACTTCGAGTCCCCTCAACCCTTCTAATGATGGGGCTGATTCACTCGGATCCGACGAAGACGCTTAAACCGGGAAACTACGGAATTCGGCGACCAGCGATGTTTTCTTATTTTTCTCCCTTTCCAATCTCGTTATGCTTGCCCGAATTCATCTCTCTTATTCCTCATACACGTGATTGGCGCAATCGACTTCACTGCATTATTTATGTGTCGACGCCACGTTATCCTTCGTGAGGTGTGCTCGTTCAGTTCTCGATACTGATATTGCTCCAAGAAAGGAAGCCGACTAATGTATTAATACGCCAGACGGAAATGGGCAACGGTGTTAACGCTACGCTCCCCGATTTACCGCGATGAGTAACAAGGGTGGATTATGATGTTAATTCGAGCAATTGAACGCGGATTATCGATCGTTGTAGATAACATCGCTTTAAGCTCGTCGACTTTATGCATTCTCTGTAATTCGTGAATAATCCATATTTTACTTTGAACCAATTTTCAAATGCATAAGAGAAGTCTGTAGCTGTCTGTGTATTCACAATATCTTATTTTTATTTTCAAATTGATTGTCCCCTCGGGTTATTGAATAAACAACGGATTGTAAAGAATTATTTTGTATTATGAATGATATCCTTCTCTCGCAATGTATCGTTAATCCTGCAGATTTTCAGACATTCGCACGGCCACTGAAGTGTGCATATTGGCAGAAGAATATTCTGTAAATCCGATTCCATTGTTCCAGCTTTCACAGTAATAATATTTCCACGAAACAGAATGGAACGTATGTATAGTTTATGAAAGTACAGCAGGATTTCAGGTTTTCCTTGCTGTTTAT